GGAGAGGAGGAGAGAGAGAGAGGGGGGGGGGGGTGGGGGCGGGGGTTGGTGAGGGACGAGCAGGGGTGAACATGGTGTAGGATTGTACATGAACTTTTTTGTGGACTGGATTTGTCACGACCCGATCCGAGAATAAAGAATAATCCCGAATCAGGGTGCATGAATTGAATGAAATAAAATAAAAAGACTAAAAAAATTGGTTCAAATACATTTCATTTATATAAAATAATAATAATAATCTTACAAGTGTACAAGATATAAATAAAAGTTTATCACTCTAAACTAATCCAATTTCTCTGGTTTCGACTTTGTCTTGTCCACTAATTGATCTGAAAAACAAAATAGGTGAGGGATGAGCAAACCACCGCTTAGTGAGTAGATTATGTAATATGTCAGTCAAGTAATATTATTTTACACACTCTAGGAAAATATAATAAAAAGGTACACAATCCAAATCATATCACATCACTACTTCATATATTAGTTATCCTTCACAAATTGTACCCAGCACATGACCCCTATCGGCCCCACTGCCCTATGTCCCCGTCTGATACATTTATTCTTCGAATACCCCGTCACTGAAGTAGTCATGTTCCATGAATAATACATATTTCTCAAAAACTCCAAATAATATATATTGTGTGAAATATTGCACAAATGAGACATGATTGACTTGAAAATAGAGAGAGGTTTGTAAACATATTACATAACTCACTCACCATGATAAGTATGAAATATTGCAAGACAAACACACATGCTCTTCATCTTGTTTCTTTTTCTTCCTTCTCTCTCTCTCTCTCTCTCTCATGTAGAAATCTATCTTAAAGGATTGGAATGAATGATTGAAGTAAGGAAGCATAATACTTATAGGAGAGGATATGCATGCACCCAAATTATATTTATATATACAATATTTTAAACCACCAAAAAGATAAGATAAAAATGTAAGGGAATAATATGACTCATCCCCATTTGGCCAATGATATCACAACACCACCACCAAAAGATAAGACAGAAACATAAGGGAATAATGTGAGTCATCCACCTTTGGCCAATGATATCACAACACCACTTGTTACTAGCATGCAAGGTGACATGACAATGATGATTTGATTAAAACCAATTCTAAATTTCTACACATGGATAACAAGAATGGTGTCATTTTTCAACTAAAGGGATAATCTCATCCTAGGCTTAAGATTTAATAACATATAAATCTTCACAATAAATATTTAAATAAGAAAAATTCATATTAATAAATAATTAATATGCAGTATGAATAATTATTATATATATATATATATATTTTACAGCATCTCACAGGATTGTACTTGAGGAGCAATGGGCTCTTGTTATTTCGATCTTCTTCCACAAACTCAAAGGGGATGCCTTTTGTTTTCAAGGCTAGTTCCACTCTCTTTATGTAAAGGCTAAGCCACGATCCATGCAGGGTCACCTTCTTTCCTTTTGCCATCTCTCTTTCACACACTTTTTCAATTTTGGATTGGATGTTGGAGTCAAATGTTACTACAGTTTTTATAGAGTTCCACCGCCAGAGAGAGAGGGATGAGGGCTAAGGTTGGTGTGGGGCGAAAGGGGGTGAACATGGGGCACTGGGTTTGTTGGCCTGGGGAAGGGTTGGGATTTTTTAAGTTTATTTTTTAAAAATTTATGTTATTTTATCATTTTATATATAAAAATTTAAGAACTGGTTGGTTAATAGGTGGGTCTCACAGTAGACACGTCAGCATTTAACAATTGACCACACGGTCAACTTAACGGAAGGATGAAATTAGATGATGTTGCAAACGTAAGTGTGTAAATTAATAAAATTGATATCCTGTGGTCCATATTGAGAAACATCCTAAACCTGCAGGGTGTCTTTTGTCGTTAGTTCTTTTTTTATGCGGTTAATCTCATTCATTGATGGTTGTTTTTTTTAATTTTTTTTATACAAGCGTTATCTAAACTTCTTTAAATTAATATAATTTATTAGATAAGAGATTCAAATTTGACTAAAGCCACTTTTACATCCCCTTTACACCTTCAGGGGGTGTAAATACTTTTTTTATTCTAATGGGAAACGATGTAAATTCAAATATGCATATTCGATTTGTTTGTGATAAATCTTTTTTGTGTATGTGTATATGTGTGTGTGTGTGTTTTTTTTTGTTTTTTTTTTTTTGTGTTTTAACTTTTTAAAATTAATTTTATGCGTCTTATATTTATTTTATTTTTCCAAATAAATGGACCTAAAAAAATTTAAATTTGGAAAACATATTATTTTACCTACAAACTAACATAAAAATATCTATGTAGAAATCTGGGCCATTTTGCTGGGTTACGTTCTTGCACTAAGCTGTGTCCAGCATGTGCTCCTTTCCCAGCGTATGCTTATGTTGTAGTACGCTTATCTTGTATTCCCCTTTTGGCTCCCCTGTCTGTGGTTTTTGAAATATCTCTTTTGACCAAAAAAAAAAAAAAAAAAAAGAAATTTGGGCCATTGGAAGTGCAAGGCAAATTGCATGAAATCTGGGCCTTTCATTTTGAATTCCAATAATTCTCTTTTCTTTTTTCTCTTGTGGGTCCTGCCTGTAAATGATGTAAAAAAAAAATGCAGATGTGCATCTAATTTTACATCTCCATAGTTGTGATGTATTTTAACAACTATTTACATCTTCCTATTGGAGATGATTCCGGCGACAAATGGTGTATATTTAACATACACTCTCTCACTGCGGATGCTCTAACCCAAGTATGCAGACACAGTTAATTGTCTTTAATCTCAGACTAATTAACTGTTTAAGCTCTAAATCATCATTGTATACTGTAAATTATCGACCTTATCAGTTAACTTTAAACATAGGTTCATTTGTGATTGATGACCTTTGTCATTTGATTATCTTTTTGTTTTGGGGGTCAAAAGCCATTTGATTGTTTAATGGGGGACTCGAATATCGATGCAGAGAGAGTGTAGCAATCTCTATCTTGCAGTGTGTGAGTGCTTGTGCTTAGGATGCCATGCCAACTTGGGTGGACCCCACCTCAACCCATTACAATAATACGTGCCCTCCAGCTAATTGTTCCCGCACCCTCCTCTGTCTACACTACTACTATACACACACACACACACACACACACCCACACACCCTTTGCCTTTTATTATTGCTTGTCTTTTAAGTACAAAACGAGCCAGCACCAAAACTTTGCTTACCGGCTGCAAATCACACATTTTTGTATTATATCAATCTCTTCTTTTCCTTTTTCAATCAAATTATAATTATATTAATAATTTTTCCCAAACCACGAGTGCAACTTTAAGAGCAATTATTCATACATCCGAGCATTTATAATCAAGGATTTTTAATTAAACCAAACATCGTCATAAAAAAAACTGGAAACATAAGATCAAGGACTGAAAAATTGACAATTTCGACAAAATTATCATTTTTTGAGGGGTCGATATTTTGGCACATATCTATCGTCAATTTTCCTCGAATTTTTTTTTTGGGGCGATATTTTCGTTCAAGTGGCAGCTACGAATGAGATAATATATTACAAATTTATAAATAAACCCAATTCTAGACATGTATTTATAAAAAAACCCAAGCACTATTTAAACATAGAAACACACCCAAAATCAACCTCAAAGTCAACTTTTTGGGTGTGTTTATAAATGGGTTTTGAGTGTGTGTAATGATGGGTTTTGGGTGTATTTATATGTTTAAATAGTGCTTGGATTTTTTTATAATTTCAACCCCCATTTTGGGTGTTTTAGTGAAACTCCCATAATATATCGATACTAGCACGGTTATGTTAAGAGTTGAGACCAAAACTCTCCTCATCCTAATTTCTTTTTCCTGGTTATCATTTTCATTTATAAAATATGAAATTATAACCCCCTATAGAGAAGGGAAAGTTTCAGCCAGCATGGTCGGTGGATCTAACGATTTACCATTGAATTTTGATCTCTGAAACGTAAACCCTTCCTATTGATGCTTTCATATTCCTGTTTTTGTTATAAAGAAGGCAAAGCACGATGCAACCTTTTGCACATGGAACTAAGAAAAGGGACGACTATATCTATGGATGGTGCACCACTTTCATAAAAAAGAAAGCACTGTGGAAATTGATCTATCTATTATCTCCCCCAAAGTGGAGTTTTTTCAGCCTTTTCTATTCCTTTCTGTAGAGAAATAGGTGTCTCCTCCTCCTCCTCCTCATCATATTTTGATTGATTCAGCATCAGCGCCCTGTTAAAAGAAAAAACAAGCACACAGACACGTACTGTTTGGCAGTGGCATAGTTGTTGTTAGCTCAAGAATACTAAATTGAGAAACTTATGTCAGAAAATCAGCATCTTCCAGATATTTTCCATACTATTCAAGGGCTTAAAATTGGGCTGCAACACTTTTTTATTTTTACAAAAGTGATAATCTACTTTAAACTAGTCTAAAATATAAAAAGAAGAATACTTTTTTATTTTATAAAAGCAATAATTAACTTTAAACTAATTTAAACTACGAAAAAGAAAATTCGAATTCGGTTGCAAAATAGAAACAAGGAATATGCACCATTTTGTTTGGAATTTGGGAAATTTGGAAGTTGTGAAAGGTCGTCATCCCGATTTTGACCAATAAATGCATCATTTCATGCAAAGCTAAAGCCCTCGGCAAAACGTGGCATGATGGCATCTCTATAGAGAGCATGTTTGTACCCTAATTTAGAAATAAATAAATAAATGTCGACATGGTCCAAGTTATAAAACGTGGATGTGCTTTTTATTCTGCATTTGAATTCGAATTCTTTTCAAGTAATTTAAATTATATCGCTTGTGTATAAAAATAAAATAAAATAAGTGATGAAGAAGAAGAAAAGTCGTTGACATCAGGTCCTCTCTCTTGGGATCCAACTATGAGTAAAAAAATGGTAAAATTTTACTTTTATTTCCATAATTATAAATTATATTAACCAAATAACAATACGTACAAATTGCCCATCAAAATTACAACAGAGCAACCTACCAAGGCAACTAAATGCAAAGAGAAAAATTACAGACACAGAGAGAGAAAGAGTGGAAGAGAATTACTTCTCATCTGTATTCTTTCAAGCTTTAATTTCTGGTGCCAGTGCGCCCCCATCAACCTCTGTTCCACAAGGGCATTCTCGGAAATGTAAAAACAGGAAAACCCAGCCAGCCACAGCTCCCGAAGTCTCAAGCTTTCTTCTTCATCTTCCCTTGTTTGTAAAAAGATCAAGAATTCAAGCAAGACCCTCTCTCTCACTCACTCTGCACATTCCCTAGATCTGCCAACCTGCCACATTATTAATCCCACCTTGCTTTCTTTTTCCTTTTCCGTCAAAACAAACAACTTAGAACAGAAAACAGAGCAACACTGACAACACTGTAAACTAATGGGTAGCTGCTAGTCATCAGCTGAACTGAGCTGGATGACGTAGAGTGAGGAGGAGGGTTATAATAGTAAAACGGAAAGTACGGCACAATTGGGTTCGGTGGTGGCGGCACAGGGTAGTTCTTGTTATTGGGCGGCGGATAAAACGCTCCGCTTCCGCCGCCGCCTCCACCACCTTGCGGAGGTGGGTAGTAGAAGTAAGTGGGCTGAGCCGGAGGCGGAGGAGAGTAGTAGGTGGTGCCGGAGCTCGGCGGCGACGGTGGAGGGGGACAGTTGGATGATGACGAAGGCGGAGAAGGCGGCGGAGATGAAGGTGGAGGAGGTGGCGGAGATGGAACTTGGCCACATGGGTTTTCGCATAGGGAGCACATTGTGCATTCGATCTGGTCCTTGGAGGTCGCCTTCGGCTTTGGTGACGGTGAAGACATCGTTGTGGTTGAGGCCATCATCACTAAAAGCATGATGAGACTCAATTGGGTTTTATGAAAAGTTTTCATCTTTAGAAGCTGGTAGCTAAGAGAGATCAAGAACAAAAAGAAAAAGGAGAGAGAATTTATGGGTTTTTTTTTTTGGTATGAGTTTTTTGGGTGGTGGGGTGGTGTAAATTTTGGGGATGATTTTGAGAAATGGAGGAGCGGGGGTGAGAGCTCGGGAGGTGAAGGCTTTAAGAGGGGGAGGGAGGGGGTGTGAGTGGTAATAATGTCTTCTCTTTGAAGCTACACCACATCTTTATTTTTGAACGATGGCTTAAAGAAATAGATATAAAAGGGGGGTGAAATGAGTGTTGTGTTTTTTTTTTTTTTGGGGTCGACATGTTAGAGGAAGCTTAAAGTTGTAAAAAGATAGACACCGACCGACGCGTTTTACTTTCACAGAAAGTGGTCAGATTACTCGGAACATTGGGGGCAAAAATCCACGCTAAGAAGTTAGCTATGTATAATTTTTGGGGGGTATCCTAGTTCCCCTAACTTCGGCTTAACTTAAGCGTAGGACAAGTGACGTGTATAACATTATTTCAGTTGCACTGTATGTAATAGTACTTGTGCTAGCTGACATGTGACGAAATGTACTATTTATATGCAATGTTCAGCTGAGTTTAGAAGCTTGATGTTGTCTTCAAGCGCATGAAAAGATGTACTATACACATGTGAGTTATGTAAAGTCTAAGACTATGATTTGCGTACTTATTTGAAATGATGGAAATTATGAATTGGAGACGAGATCAGTTGGGGAGATGAATTAGTACATAAAATGAATGAACTTTTTAGTCGATCTAGTTTTCGGTTTGTTAATTTTTAAATAGCGGGATTCACGTACTTTTTGATTTCATATATGTGTTGAAGTTAGGAATCGTATTCGTAATGCAGTACTAACGTAGTCAAGATATATAGCTAGTATAGATTTTTCCCATTTTAAGAATTGTGGAAACTAAAGAAATGGAGTTGTAGTGAAATGACTTGGGAATCCTTTTGGTATTGGTAATTGGTTGCTAGACAGTGTTTGGCAGTGAGATTGGTGTTTTAAAAAAGTGAAAGAAAACGGTGGAAGTTTGAGGAAAATTTGCAGAGTCATGTTTGTTGGGCTTGACTCTTGTACACAGGCGTTCATACGTGGAAGGGATAAATTGTGTTGGCATTTTGGTGACGAAGCCGTAAAGAAGACGCAATCTCCACGTGGTCAAACCAATACTGAACTTAACTGGATCAAAAATCTACTTGGCCTCTTCTGGTTTTTGGTATTGGCAATTGCATAATAAATAGAAAAAGAAGAGAGAAAAACAAATATTTGCTGGTGAGAGAATGAGTTGTTAAAGAACTCGGAGATATGGGCCAGCTGGCATGGCAGCAAATAAAAGATTCTGTTTCTTATTTGGTTAGAAAATTTATACATTTCTATTAGGGATGAATCCGGTCGAACAGATGAAATCGGCTGAGTCAAAAATTTACTTTGATTTTGATTAAGAAAAAGTTAAATGGTTTGAAAATCAAATCGGACTGTATATAGTTTGGTTTATTTTGAATTTTTGTAAACCGATTTAAACGAAATCGGACCGTTTATGTGTATATTTATTTATTTATATTATATTTTACATGTCTAATGGGGTAATAACTATATATGAATATTTGAATTGAACTATATTTGTTATTGAAATTTAAAGTTTTATGGCATGCTGAGCTTTAGGATGATTTGGTACTCTAGAAAATAATTTAAATATGAAGCAAGTTGTGAATTTGTTGCTTGTAATTTGGCTAAAAATGTTGAAAAAATACCAAAAAAAAGAGAGGAGAATTGGGCTTAGGCCCAAATCAGCTGAACAAAACCGTCTTAAATTAGTTCGGTTTCCTTCATGACTTTTATCAAAATCTAATTGTTATAATGTACGGTTCAATTGTAAGTTTAAGATGAAACCGATATAATCCAAATCGTGCCTGCTCCTAATTTATATTTTCAGGCAACTATGCTATCCATGTATCTTGTATTTAAAAAGATTTCTATTTTCAACCATCAATCTTTACCACCTGTATCTATTGAAATGAAAATATAAGAAAGTGGCCGCAGAAACAAACAAATTATGGTGAGCTAGCGCAACGCAAGTTTGAGAGCTCCAAAAATTGGGTGGATCGGTGGAGCCATTTAAGACCACTACCCATGGATTTTTTAGATAATGCCAGGGTCACATGGCTAGGAGCAATGGGAGAGTGCAGTGATGCATTTTTCACGCCGCTAACCATCAATGGCACACACAAAAAGAACACATCAGCCCCAACAGATTCTTCTGATATACATATATAATAATATGTGCCAACCGGCCAACAACCATCACCTTAGACAAGTTTAATAAAAATGGAGTAATTTTTTAGTGGAACGGTGACATCAATTCGTAGCGTTATTAATTCACTCATATTATAATACGTTGATTTTGAATCGTAACAGTCAGTTTAAGTACGATTTTGCAAAATTACTACTAAATCATTCTCAATGAATTATATAGGTTGTATGTTTTTAACTAACTCATCAAATGAATTTGTATCGTGTAAAATGTGTTTGGATTTATTTATTATCAGCACGATCACAATCCACATGGGACTTTCCAGGCTGTTTTAAGTGGCGACAATACAATTGATAATTGCATTCTCCTTACCAAATTACTCTGTTTAGACCAAGTAGTGTCTACAAGAATCATTCAAAATGTCGGTCGTTTTGCCTCTTTGAATTTATTCCAACATATGTTTAAAAAAATTAATAATAATAATAATTTATTTTGTGATTAATAATTGACATGCTGTGGAATATTAGTTAAGATTTTATTTTACAGAGGTTTCAAAGAATCCACCGATTCTGTACTTTGCTAATGAAAAGGTGAAATGATGATGATGATGCGCATAATTAACTTCAAATTAGAAGAGGGAAATAATGGTGACCAAAAGCCGAAAGAATCTAAGACTTTTATGATCATCTTTTGCTTCTTCTTTTTTCTAATTAGGTGTCCAAAAAGTTAGCTTCTACATCGTTCATCTGTCATAGTATGAATCATGATTTATGATATTGAGATAAATTCTCGTATATCAGAGATAACATTTTTACTAAACTTAAGTTGTTCATCATCATGCATATGTAACCTTTTCTTCTTTTAAATAAATATATTATTGCACGTCAAGTCGAGATTATGAAATTAGGGAGAATATATATGCATGAAAACTTAATTATTCTGATCCAAAAAGAAAGAATACGATAAGATGTGACTGGTTAGAGTCCGAATCATCCACTTTTGCAACAAAGCGACAGTAAGCAAATTTGGCCCAATCGTCGACCTTGACATTAATTGGCTAATTAGTGGCTAAGATATCATTCCTTCCAAACAAAAATTAATTGGGACCCCGATCATGCAATGCATTATACCATATACATTCCGGACAAGGTTGTTGTGTGGTAGGCATATTGTCACTTGGCTTTATATCCTCGTGCCCTTATGATTTCTGTGAGCAGAATTTCAATGCGCTTTATTCTCAACTCACATCATATGCCATGTGCATATATATTTTTTTTCTTCTCCTTTTCCAACGAGGGTTTTGTTAGTATTTGTCGTGTATGATTCACGTACATGTGAGTAATTGACAACTGTTATGAATAACTAACATTTGTAATTTGAAGTCATTTATTCACGTGCATGTGAATGATGGTTCTTTAAATTTATTATGCTTTAAAGAGAGATTGCAGTTGCTGTTGGCAATAATAAATCTTTGCAAAACAGAAAGCAAAATTGAGGGTCGCTTGTTATAATGTCATAATCAAAGTTGTCTTTGTCGAAGGAGAGGTCTATTTTCAGTTATTGAATGGCACTAAGGTTGATTTGTTTGGTCTCTTAAATCTTTTAGTACCAAATAACTCTCTCTCGCTCTCTCTCTCTCTCTCTCTCTATGTGTCCTCTGGTTGTCTGTCATACTATTTAATGCTAATAAGAAGTCGCATCTGATGTAATATCTCACTCTCTCTCTCAGTGTCTATCAATTTCTGTTCGTCTTCGAAAACCCTATCACGCACGCAGGATTTTATATATAAACCACATAAAAAACATGACCTTGTTTTGTTCTCCACCATAAATAATTAGTAAGACATTAGAAAGATCGTGCACATTAGAGTGGAGAAGGAGCTAATCTGAATGCACATTAGGAGGATCCTAACTTAAGCACACCAAATACTAACCCCAGACTCTCAATAATGGAATAGATAATCTCTATTTTTCATAAATTACAACCTGCATTGCATGCTAATGGGCTGTGATGTCCAATGTAGAGGCCTTCTCAGATTGGGCCAGGAACTCTGCTACAAGCCTACAATGGTGCTCTCAGCATGTTCAAACTAGGCCAGCTTCAAAAGACAAGCCCATGAGCGAGCATATTACTAATAGGCCCAAAATGTAAGAGAGAGAGAGAGAGAGAGAGAGAGACGTTTTGGTACCTGGCTATAAACATTAAACAACACGACGTGCCGCAACATAAGGTCTAACTTCATGTGCGCTTCTTTCCTTAGTCTTTTGCTAGACATGGGGGCTTGACTTGATTGGTGTCTCATTGAAACCACATTTGTCCAAAGGTGTTATCTGGACCCGCAACACACGAAATATTTGTATTGACACACTTCAAATTTGAACCATTCATCTGAATTTTTACACGAGAAAGTTACTGTCCGAACAAATCTTCTCCACTATCTGAATTCCGATCTGTTTAATGACATAAGTATGTATGTGTCTGAAATATAAATTTGATAAGACAAGTTAAGAGTCTTAAAGAAATCGCCTCTCTGACCCATGTCCGAACATGAATTCAAAATCAAATATGAAGAGAGGGAGGGGAAGGGTTCCGTTGAGACAAAGACAAAAGGCTCTTTTCACACTCCAAACTCAAACCGCACTACCACTATGTCTTCAAAACGCATTTCTTGCCAATTGCTTTCAAGGATTACCAAATCCACGAGCCATCTTTGAATCACTCCAAGACGGCAACAATATCAAACAAAATAAACTAAAATAAAACAAAATAAATCATTAAAAAAAAAAGAAAAACACATTTCTTCACGAAATACAGCTTCCATTAAGCTGTTTATACTCTCAACGCGTTTCGAAAAAAACACACAGAGCCTACGCGATAAACAGTCCCGCATATATAAACTCTCTCTCTTCCTGCAAATTCAAAATCCCAACTTTTGAAAACCCACCAACCCAAACGCCATGGACTTCAGCTCCATGAGCTGCCCTCTGATCTTCACCCTCAGCTTTGTGCTTATTTTCACTGCCTTGCCTTCTTCATTCTCTCAGCCAACCGCGGATGCTCCAGCACCAGCCTCCGATTCGTGCAACGGCGTGTTCTTATCGTACGCCTACACTACCGGAGCCAAGCTCCCGCCCGAGCTCAAATCTAACCCCAAGCGCCAGCCCTACCGGTTCGAGTCCGTGCTCACTGTGCTCAACAACGGGCTCGAGGATCTGAAATCTTGGAGGGTCTTCGTGGGGTTTAAGAACGATGAGTACTTGGTCTCTGCCTCCAATGCCGTTTTGGCAGACGGGACTAGCATGCCTGGAAGTGTGGGAAACGGCACCGTTTTGGCTGGGTTTCCGATGACCGATCTGAAAACTGCGATTAAGACTGCGGGAGACTTGACCCAGATGGAGGTTCAGGTCAAATTGGTCGGGACCCAATTCGGTGTGGCCCCACCCAAGGTTCCTCTGCCCTCGAATATCTCTTTGGCCAATGATGGGTTTGTTTGCCTCAACGCCGTGCAAGGTCAGTTCTTAGCATTCATTTTGGTCGTCTCTGTTTTGGGTATTTGTGGATTTGTGTTTTTCTGGTACATTTTTGGATGTTGTTATTTGATGAAATTTAATTTGGAGTATACAGATTTCATTTTTATCCGTTACCCTTTTTTTATGTTTAGCTGCTAGCAGTTGTTCTGATAGCTTATATATTTTCAGGTTTCAATCATTTGTTTTGAATGTTCATTATATATAACTGTATTAAATTGAATTTGATGAGAGGATACCTGGTGTATGTTGGTGTGGAGATGAAGGGAAATTACGGTTATATCTGTCCTCAAATATTTGGAATTTGTTTAGAGATTATTTGTACATTTTCTTCCAATTTGCGTTGGACCGTATCAGTCTCATTGGTATATTGACTTACTTTAAGTCACTAGGAAAATTTGTTACTCCTAGATTCATAACTACACTGGTGAATGTCTAGAACCACAAATCAAGATGTCTTCCCCATTAGTTTTTCGTTTTTGGAAGACAATGGCCTTCTATATCTGCAAGGAAAATTTGTTAGTCTTGGTCTACAGAAAAAATTTTGGGTCTAGTTTTTGTTTAGCTTTTGGTTATAATCAGATCATTGCTTTCTATGTTTCCTTCATATTATTAGACCCTCATTTTTAGGGCGTCCTTTTCTCTATAGACCAATTTGTTAGTAACAATCAGATGTCACCGTGATAACATACATTTGACACTAAGTTGGGTTTTCGCTTTTCACTTTTACTATCCATGTTAATGAGCATACTCTTACGCTTCTCTGATAATGTTCTTTCCAGGGACGAATGAAATGCATGTCTGTTGCACTGTAGACACTAAGTTTAAAACGAACATCACTGTAGATGGAAAGTTCCTCCCCCGCCAAAATGGAGATCTTACAATTATGTATGATGTGACCAATACTCAAGACTCAAATTACTGGGCACAAGTTACAATTGCCAACCATAACCCCCTAGGCCGTCTTGATAATTGGAAATTGAGCTGGGACTGGATGGCAGATGAATTTATATTTGCAATGAAAGGTGCGTATCCATCTATTGTAGATTCTTCTGACTGTATATTCGGCAGACAAAGTACATACTACAAGGATCTGGACTTCTCCACCGTATTGAATTGTGAAAAACGGCCAACCATAATTGACCTGCCTCCAACAAAGGCCAATGACACTCTACTTGGTCTGGTCCCTAATTGTTGCCGAAATGGTACTATCTTGCCACGATCAATGGATCCAAGCAAATCAATGTCATCATTCCAGATTCAAGTCTTTAAAATGCCTCCAGATCTTAACCGGTCCCAGTTCACACCGCCACAAAACTGGGCAATCAACGGCACACTCAACCCTGATTATGAATGTGGCCCTCCTGTGCGGGTGAGTCCTAGTCAATTTCCTGATCGAAGTGGCTTGCCAGTGAATTCATCTGCGGTAGCTAGCTGGCAGGTTGTGTGCAATATTACACAGCTCAAGGGAGCAAGCCCTAGATGCTGTGTTTCGTTTTCTGCTTTCTATAATGATTCGGTCATCCCATGCAACACTTGTGCATGTGGCTGCCCTAGTAATACAGCTCGAACTTGTAGTACAACTGCACCAGCTATGCTTCTTCCGCCGGAGACACTTCTTGTTCCCTTTGAGAACCGAACTGTCAAGGCAAAAGCTTGGGCTGAACTTAAACATCTACCAGTTCCAAACCCGATACCCTGTAGTGATAACTGTGGGGTCAGCATTAACTGGCATTTATATACAGACTACTCTCGTGGATGGAGTGCAAGGGTCACACTCTTCAATTGGGATGAAACTTCTTTTGTTGATTGGTTTGCTGCCGTGCAAATGGATAAAGCAGGCCCTGGTTTCGAAAAGATGTACTCTTTCAACGGAAGTACCTTGGAATTGAATGGTGTCAACAATACCGTATTCATGCAGGGTCTTGAAGGATTGAACTACCTTGTGGCAGAAACAGATGCAGCCAACCCGCAGAAGGATCCTAGGGTGCCTGGGAAGCAGCAATCAGTCATCTCATTTACAAAGAAGAAGACTCCTGGAATTAATGTGATTGGTGGAGATGGGTTTCCGACAAAAGTATACTTTAATGGGGAGGAATGCTCACTTCCTAAAATATATCCAAGTAGTGGTAACAGAAAGAGTACACCGATAATGTTTTCAGTCCTCCTAATGGTTGTAGCGTTCATGGTGATGTAGCAATAGCTGAGGGATGAGGCACTGCCAGATCTTGTAGCTGCTGCTGATTTTTTTTATTCTTTCAGTGGTTTGATTGATATATGCTCAACCAGGAGGTTTTGCAAAATCTCAACGACTAGAAGACGTGCATGCCATGACTGGTACTTATGAGGTTGTTAGGGGAAATTTGGTTGTCGCTGGTAATCTCTTGCTCTTCATCTGCACATGCTGAAAGGAGGATAAACACAGCAAGTGACAGCAAATCATATGTAGCTATTGTTCTCATATTTTGTATAAACAATTACTGAACTAGGTGCTTGCTTTGATTCTTTTGTTATATGTATACATGTGGGAACGATTATCCAATATATCTTTTTGGAGTCACTGGAATTTAGGACAATTACTTTGTGCGCCTATACAAATTTTCTGCTCTGAGTGTTTGTGTTCTCTTTGCTTGTTTTGAAAATCTTTGCTTGCTTGCGGATACAGGAAGCCAATAGGAAAAAATCTTCGCAGGCAGAACAGGTCTGTGCGTCTAAATAATTATATACTTTAACTTGTTTAATGCAAATACCTAATCAACTTTTAGACTTGTTCAACTCAAATTATTCTATTCTTCAGGCTGTTCCTTTTTTTCTTCTTTTGTTTCTTTTTCTGGCTGTTGGAATGATTCTAAAGCTCATGCTCAGCTTATGTGTGGACCACATCTTATCCGACCATTTCTTTATTTTTTTTTTTTTGGAAAAGGTTATCCGACCAGTTCATGTTGGTTGCATTATTCCCATTTGCCAGTTACTCTCCCCGCAGCCATATCTTTTGTCACTAGCGTGCCTAAAAATAGTGAGACATCTCTAGTATATTTACTGATTTGTTCTGCAACAGTGTAAATATTTCCTTTTTTAAAAGGGTAAAAATGTAATTCAGATTCCAAGACTTCATAGTGAAATTGCTTGTCATAAATTAGGCGAAATTCCATGTAATTGTTGAAACAAATCTCATGTACATAAGATAGGAGAGACTATTAAGAATAGAGGTCACATAAGAAGGTGGTTAACACCAAAGCTAAAGCATGAATGAGAATCCCTAGAAATTTAAGTACAAGAAAACAAACCAGAAAAGAATACCTCCCGACTTATGTCTTGAGTAACCAAATGGAATTTATGTACATCAAAGTCTGATTCCTTGAACGAGAGAGAAATGCAAGAGGAGGCAAAAGAAAATAACTAACAGGGCAAACTTCATGTGTTATTAGAGTTAGAAAGGCTCCTACAATGCCTGCAGGCGTATCAAAACCTACTCTAGAATACTCAAGATGCGCCGAAAACCGAGTACAGTTTCACCAGCACCCCAGAAATTGTTGCTTCTTTCTAGCCACTCAAAATTTTGCATGTATGCCTTTGCATTTCATGCAGCAGTATCTTGCATCACAAATATCTTTTTGACCTGTTTGATCCGCCTCAATTACCCATCATCCTGACATTTAATCTGCTGGTTTCTTGAAGTAGAAACAAACTTGAATATCCACCATTCGATTGCAAAAGAAATGACTCCTATTGCAGCAATTATATACACCAGAGCTGCAAGCATACAGAATATTGTAGGGAGCACATTCTACACAGGAATATTATCCAAGGAATACCCGTCAAAGTCAAACTCATTTTCGGTGGCTCCAATTCCCTCTTGCTGCTGGAAAACAGAAGAACTTTCACATGAGTAAATAATAACCTCAACAGTTCGAAATTCATATCCAAAAATCTAAACACAGAAGGTAAAAAAAATAGAGGCAGAAAAATTGACCTGTTTGAGAAGTGCACTCATTAGATCCTCCTGACCAAATTGTTCGTTAAAGTAGCTAGTTTGAGAACTTGCATCAGGAACCCTTTCAGCTTTAACCCTAACTGTATTGTCAACAATAAGACTGTTAAGGTGTTGACCATTATTTTGAACATTCACATGATGAGTGCCTTCTCCAATTGAGAACATAGCCTTTCCAACAGTAGATGGATTCCTGCTCTGTACGCTCCTTTGGCTAGAAGAAAATCCCTGATGAACTAAAACTGAGGAGTCAAGGCTACCATGCATGGTGTTTGTATGTTGAGAGGCATCAAAGGTCAAGCCTACATTCTGTAAGTCCCAGTCATTAGATTTGTGCTGATGTAACTCATTAAAAATATCATAACTTGGCGCAAATCCAGAAGATCTTTTTATTTCACAGTTCACGTCTTCTGGAAATGCTCCTTTAGACGTGAGGCTGGACATTCCTGGTGTACTTCCAAGAGTAAAATTGTTTCCTGGCAGTTCTGAACTGTTGTTCAGGGGAAAGTTCAACATTGAGGAGTTCTGCTGGACTGGATTATATCCTGCCCCTCTGCCATTATCAGCAATCCCATTTCTTCCTAAAACTCCACTAGGAATTCCATTTGATAGGATAGGCTGCCCCATTGATGATGAAAGCCTAGGAACATGATTTCCAGAAGTTTCATTCAGGATCTGCCCTCTTGACTGTGGTTGAGACATCTGCATAAGTAGAGCGCTGTTCTGGACTCCATGGGCATTGACTTGCATATTCACACCCCCAAGAGATTGTGCAGACTGGTGCAAGTTGGCAAGCTGCTTGGCCTCCATATTTGTTGGAATTCCATGAAGTAAGTTCATTGGCTTGCTACTGCTCAGATGTTGTTGCCCCTCTGCAAACCTCAACTTTGGATTTTCAAAGCTGAATAAGTTCCTTTGATCAACAAGGGGCATAGGCATGCCAGATTTTGCTGTTGACCTACCAAGTCCGGCTTGGAGTGTGGCAAGACTTTGAGCTGGAAGTTGACCTGTGACGGCTAGCGTCTGAAGATCAAGCCCATTGAGCGACGACATAGCTCCAAAAGATGCTTCTTGGGGACTCAGGAAAGAGTTATTCAAATTACTCGGGTGCTGTGACACTCCACTCAACCTTCTAAGGTACAGCCTATATTTCTGTTCCACAACTTCGCACAGTGAGTTTTTCTCAAAATGCATACCAAAAGAAGGGAAAAAAAAAACCCAAGAGCCTTTCTTGAGTTCATATCATAACAGACTTCCTCTTCATAATTTTTTATTATATTATACAAAACCATACATACCTGAAGATGGCTAGCAACATTTTCTCTAGTGAGCCCAGGAACATTCATCAACTCCAGAATTTTCTTAGGAACAGCCTCTGTATCAAATTATCAAGTTTGATTAACATAAGGAATACATTTGCAATAGGAAATAGACACATAATGTTGCATGGTTCAATTTTATCTAAAAGGCAAAGAGATTAATTCAATGCTAACTTGCACTAAAATGCTAAACACAACATAGACTTTGATTTATGGAACAATTTGGATGTAAAAGGTGTATTAATTATGAGTCGTTTGTCAATGAATAAACTAGACAGACATGATAATGATATTTGATATGGCCAGCATGTCCATTTCTGTCAGTGTGAAGAATGTTTATATAGGTTCAAACTGATTCAGCTCCTAGTTGAAAAACTAGGTGCAAAACTCAAAAGGACCAAGAACACTTATTTGCTCCCAGCATCCATATTCAGTCCAGTAGGAAACATGAAATTGAAAAAGATTGGGAAGAAAACATACTATCGATGCCTAGTTGATTAACAGCACCCACAAACTGTTGATGGAGTTCAACTGACCAAACAACCCGTGGCTTCTTTAATGTGGATGAATCATCCCTCTCGTCGGCCTCTTCTTCCTCATCCTTCCTCCTCTTTGAGTTCTTCCAAGTCCCTTCATTTGCTGAGGACGAGTAATCTGCATCTTCAGATGGTTTTGGCTGCCGATCTCCTTCTTCCACACTTCCAGATTGCTCCACTTCCTTCCACTCATTCTTTTTCTTACGAACTACATGCTGCCATATGTTCTTCAGTGCCTCTATACGAACCGGTTTGATTAGGTAGTCACAAGCACCATGAGTGACCCCCTTCATAACAACACTTTTTCCATCATCAGCAGACATCACTGTGAAATCACATATCAGCTCCAAATTAATATATATACTATCTGGGTTAACAGCAGTTAAAATCCACACAAATTACTCAAACGGATAACTCACTGATAACAGGCAGGTCCATCTCAAGTCCAACGCGCTCCAGCAGTTTGAATCCATCCATGTCTGGCATGTGGACATCACTAATAACTATATCATATCCATTTTTGTTCTCTCGAAGCAGATTAAGTGCGATCTCCGCTCGATTGCATTTCGTAACTAGAAAATCCCAAACAAACCGAATCAATCTCTCAAAAAATTGATAACGGAAATGATAAAACAACATAAATAAACAGAGCTATGAATCTATAAAAGCGCAAATCAAAACTCAAGCTTATCCTTGGAACAATAAGATTAACTCTTTAAAAAAATAACAGAAGCAAAAAGATGAAAAATTAATGCTGTAGAAACCATGAAGAACAAGTCACAAACTTTAAGACAACCCATTATTTGAATCTAAACACAATTATAACTGAAAGTGTACAAAATGTCAAACTATAGACAAATCTTAATATTTGTTCCCTTTTCTACAGCAGGTTCCCAATCCCCTAAATATCAGCTTGAGAAACACAAGAAACGATAACCCAAGTGGTAAACACTTGCACTAAATCAACCCAAAAGGAAAACAAGGTTATACTTTGAAACAGTAAATTGAAATCACCTAAAGGATTGAAGAAAACCCATGAAGCAAAACCCAAAAGAGAGAGAGAATTACAATTCAAGCAACTCTAATAAACGGGTACCTTCATAGAGACATGTTCTAAGCATCTTCTCCAAAATCATAAGGCAAGTGGGATCATCGTCAACCACCAGGACTCTTAAACCCGCAGGAAACTGGTCAGAGACCACATCAGCCGATTTCCAAGCGCCACTTGAACTAGCCGTTGACATCGATCCCATACCGTTACTCAGATTCATGGCTTAAAAAACCCAAATCTCGGAGCCGAAAGAACAGGGGAGATACAGCTAAAGGAACAACCAGATACCCGAATTACATGCTTAAGCTTCGGTTTTGATTCACACCCAATTCGAAATTCAAAGAACCAGTTGAAACTAAAGCAACGAAAAGGAGAGAGATTTTGATTTATCTGGTGATACAATTTTTATTGTGGTATAATTATATATTTATTCTTCAGATTGAAGTTGAAAGAGCTGGACTTGTCTCTCTCTCTCTCTCTCTCTCTCTCTTTTCTCTCTGTGCTTCAAGCTCAAATTGTCTGTGTTTTGGTTTTATTTTATGATTTATTAATTTTTAATAATTTGGAATATTTTATTCAATGGTGGGTCACTCCTGGAAGAGTGGATCCAGCTCACATATAAAATTAACTTGATTAGCTAACATGATCCTCCTTCCCAAATTTACTCATAATTACTGTTTACTTTGTTACTTTGTATTTGGTTTTTA